CCAACACCTCTTCCTTTATTATTAACCTCAAAATACAGAAGTTACTGGAATTACACACAAACTAGAGAAAGACCGTGACAAGGGTTTGCCAGTGTGTGTAGCGACATCTGGGAGAGTCTGGCTTCCTGAGCCCAAGTAGGAGACATTTCCAGATAGTCGAATGCCACGCTAGTAGGTTTCCCCTTTTTGCTGTCCAGGTTGTAGACCCGAGGGCCTCATTCTTGTATTGTTTCTATAGCTGGAGCGGATGGTCAGTACCCAACGGGCTGCAGAGGTCTTACCAGTTCTGAAAGCCCGGCAGACAAAGGAGCCAAGAGAAGCACAAAAGGCCTTCGCACTGCAGTCCTGAGCAGCAGAGAGTGCTAAAGCAGAGCTGGTGTACTGTGACCTGGCCTTCTGTGTCTGTCTGCTCTGACTCCACTGTCTGTGGAGGTCCCCTCACTTCTCATGTCCCAAGGTCTGCAAGGCACTGACCATATCTGGGGCCTTTTGCAGGGTACCAGGTACATATGGCAGAAACAGGAGAGGATCCACCCGCCCAGTCCCATCCCCCTTTAGAGCCTCCCCTCTGCTGCACAGCCTGGGTGCCATGGTCTCACCAAAGTCCCCCGTTCCAGCTGGTCCACCCCTCCAAAAGAGTGCTCACTGGCTCTACTGAGCATTTCTTGGCTCCAGACTTTGTTCACTTTGCTGTTTGTTTGTTTGTTTGTTTGCAGTACTGGGGCTTGAACTGAGGGCCTTCACCTTGAGCCACTCCACCATCCTTATTTTTGTGAAGGGTTTTTTGAGATAGGATCTCACAAATTATTTGCCCCGGCTGGCTTCAAACCACAGTCCTCCTGATCTCTGCTTCCTGAGTAGCTAGGATTACAGGCGTGAGCCACTGGTACCCGGCTCCACTTTATTTCTAAATGAAAGACTAAATCTCATCCCAGTATTCCTAGCTTCTTGAAAGAAGATAATTTTGCATCTATTAACCAGCTCGTTTCCACATTCTTTTTACAGGCAGAGTCTTGCTATGTAGCCAAAGCTGGCCTCAAACTCCTGATTCTCCTGCCTCAGCCACCCAAATGCTGGGATTACAGGTGTGCACCACCATGCCTGGCTTCATCTCTACAGTCCTCATTACCTACACTCAGGTCTGCTCTCTAGATTCTCTTCTGAACTGGTCTTTAACACATTATTGGTACCTTTGGTAAATAATGGGTTAAAAATGTCCTTGATACATGTTCTAAAAGGAATGGATGAATCTGTCCTTCTGGAGTTTTCCCCATTCTCCCAGATTCCATGCTCTTGGATCCAGGCCTGACACCAGAGAGCATCTCTCTCGTCATCCGCTTACTTTCGGACACTCTGCAGCAGCCCTGATGGCTGTGCTGTAAAAAGCCACTCCATCCTGGCCCTGAAGCTTACGTTTGGCAACTGTATCCCTCTAATGGATGCACACGTGCCTATTGTGAGTACAAACATAAAAGTCACCATGGAGACACGGTTACGATGGCTAATTAGACAAAAGAGAGCCTTGAAAGACATCCTGGTGCAATACACGAACACCATCTTAGTCAATTGTATGCCTTCCCATCTCTCCCTAGAAACATCCACAGATGGTCCCTGGCGACAAGACCTTATTATAGAGACAGACTCTTTCACCAACTCGTCAGAACCTTCTGGATCCTCCACCCCAGGGCAGATCAAGGCACACGTTCCCAAAACAGCCGTGGGGCGCTGACCACCACTGGCATTGGGAGACTGGGCTCACTCCAGTCTCAGGTCTTTGCTCTCCCGACAGCGCTGGGGCATGCTCCAGGCTGTGTCCTTGTCCTTTCCCTCTGTCGCACCAGCCTGACTTGACAATTGGCCGCCTAGGTGCTGGCTTTTCTCAACAAGGCTGAGGCAATGAGAACAAAGTATCTCACAGCCCAAAGGGACACTATGCCACTCAGCAGAGAGTTCAACCCGAGTATAATATTCTCACAAAATCCCAGAAGTGAGAGAGAAGGCATCTCCTCCAAATATTGCAGGGTTTTCCAGCTCCCTGCCCTCATCCCACCACTACCCCAGGCTAAAGGGAAAATGTCCAGAACATAAATTCACAGACCTCAAACTACAGTTACAACTGTCTCAGATACACTGAGAAATGAGCCCAAAAATCATGCCAGCTAGCAGCAAAAAGCATGCCTGGATAGAAATGCACACACAAGAAAAGGAAGAAAAAAAAGCAGATGGGAACTAAATAAACACACTCCGCCAAAATTTCAAAAAAAGACAATCCAGTTTACCAGAAAATATAATCCCTAAAGTGGAAGAAAAAAAATTTGGTGGAACTGGGATTTGCGCTTCAGGCTTGCAAACCAGGCGCTCTACCACTTGAGCCTCCAGTCCATTTTGCTCTGGTTATTTGGATGGGGTCTCGAGAACTATTTGCCTGGGCTGGCCTCAAACCACAATCTTCCAAGTAGCTGGGATTACAGGTGTGAGCCAGTGACACTCAGCCTGGAAGAAAATTTCACAAGCACTCTCAGCTATGAAACTACAAAATAAGAACATGAGCTCATTTGAAAACTCCAAAGATGAATTAATTAAATGATAGAGTTACATGAAAAAGACACCCAGGGAAATAAGCTGAGACCAAAACAACATTATGGAGCTCACAGATCAACTACAAATATCAAAAACAGAACAGACCCTACTGAAGATGGAGTTATGGCGAGAGAGACAACGATTGTTCAAAAGACAAAAATATGAAACCAATCAGAAAGAAGCTCGAAGACACGGAAGAGAGTAAAAATGTTCCTGCACCAATGATATGGAAGAAAAACATTCAAATAACATGTAAGATGTACCTTGACCAAGTCACTGAATTTCATGGACAAAGAATGAATTTTGAGACATTTGGGTGACTGTGACAAATAGCCACAGGCTATACCTAGAACCCCATTAAGATGAATTACAAGGATATTTTGAAGGCTAAACTCTACAGAACAAATGTAGCAGAAGAGAAGAGAGCAGAGAATGCATGGCATCAAACTTTGGAAGGCAAAATGTGAATGGATGCATGCATGGCAATAGGCCCAGAGAAAGCAGAGTCCTCAGTGTGCCCACAGGGTGGAGACCCCATAAAGCCAGCTGGACACTCCCGAGGGCCGGAGTACCAGAGCTGTTGCCCACAGAAGCAACACAGACTTAGGAGGAGCATTTGGGACCCAGGCTGCTCAGCCAGGCAATGCCACTGCTCCACAGCAGTTGACATTTACCCCCTGGGTATGTTGAAGCCAGAGGCTGAAAGTGAACATCAGACATGAGAAACAGTGATGGAAACACCAGGATTTAATGCAAATCTACCCACTGAACGGTCAGGGGCAAGTCTGCTGACCTTGACACATAAGATCCCTCTCTTGGAAAACAACCAAGGAGAAAAAACTTAGAAGCCAGGCTCCATGGCTCAAGCCTGTAATCCTAGTTACTTGGCAGGCAGAGAGTGGGAGGATCTCGGTTTGATGCCAGCCTGGGCAAAAAGTACACAAAATCCTATGTCAACCAATAAAAGAAAAAGAAAGAAAGCAAAAAAGAAAGGAAGGGAGGAAAGAAGGAAGGAAGGAAGGGAGGGAGGAGGGAGGGAAGGAAGGAGGGAGGGAGGGCAGCAAGGAAGGAAGGAAGGGAGCTTGGGGGGTGGCATACACCTGTCATCCCAGCTTCACAGGAGGCCACAGGTAGGAGGATCGTGGTCCGAGGCTGGCCTGAGCAAAAAGTGATACCCTATCTGAAAAATAACCTCAAAGCAAAAAAGGCTGGGGGTGTGGCTCAAGTGGTAGAGTACTTGCAAGAGCAAGGCCCAGTACCAGAGAGAGAGAGAGAGAGAGAGAGAGAAGGGAGAACTCAGCAATACAGACATCATAACAAAGGACCTGAGTGTGAGCAGTGAATCTACTTAAAACTAGAGTTTACATCTACCTGTTATTTCACATCAATATAAATGTTTGAAATTTTAATGATGGAAAAATAATAAAATAAGGAAAGAAAGATGGGAGTAAGAGAAGTCTACTTCCTCTTGCCTCAACCTCCCAAGTGCTGGGATTACAGGTGTGCACCACCATTCCCTGCTAATGTTCTCTTTTTTTCTGACAAGGAGTTCATTCACACTATCTAACATATGAGCACATCATTTAAAAATACAGAATCGTAGATCAGGTGTGACAGCACAAACCTATAATCCCAGCACTCAGGAAGCTGAGGCAGGAGGACAATGAGTTTGAAGCTAGCTTGGACTACACAGGGAGACCCTCTCTCAAAAAATAAGTAAATAAATAAATTTTAAAATGAAAACAAACTATTCTCAGAGAAGTACAAAAAAAAATCTCAATGAAATGCTCTTTCATCTCTATTAGAATAATTGTTTGAGATGAGACTTCACCATAACACTCAGGCTGGCCTCAGACTCATGGCTCCAGGGAGCCTCCTACCTCAGCTGCCTGAGTAGCTGGGAACACAGGCCATGTACCCAACTCAGAATTCCTTTTTTAAATGATGGTGGCATGCACGGGGAATGACACAGCCACAGGAGCTCCTGGATATGTCTCTCCTCCTGGAGAGAGCCTGAGCCTTTGAAGAAACCCCGTGGCTGCATTCTAGAACCACACAGGGGACTTCCGAATGGATAGAGCCATGTAAAGGTCAAGTAGATGGTCCCCAAAACAACTTGGCACTCAGGAAGTCCATATTAATCATCTGTCAGCCATACTCACAAACGGTGACATGAGGGCATCTGCCACTTCACTGAGGCCACTTCACTGAGGCATGGTTTCACAGCACACTCACTGCACAACCGGGTGTCAGTTGAGGTGAGTCCATCCATTGACCAGTCAGGATCAGTTCTAACCATCCCACATATCTTGGTGGGGCTCTGTCATGCTCTCTTGGTCCTTATTGTCCCCAACTCCTCCCGTGAAGTGATAGAATTATGCTTTTGTGAAGCAAAAGTCAGCTGCTTGTGTTGGGGACAGAGCTGAAGAGGAAGTGAAGGGCCTGGAGGACGTGAGGATGTGGAAGAAGACTGTGAACAGGATATGGAATGATGCCATGCCTCGGATCGACCCATGAACGCCCTCAATATCTGCTCGGGAGGCACGCCAGAAAACGTGGCTCAGAGACTTCCAGTGAGTGCTCCTGCGGGGACAAAAACGAGTCCATGAAAGCCAGTTCCTTCCTTCCTTCCTCCTTTGTTCCATTAGACCAAAGTCTTCAATGTCCTTCTACAGCCTAAGGTACTCGTCTTGGCTCTGGGGATGAGAATAAGGGACTGCCACCATTTACATTGGAGCTTATATTCTAGAAGAGAAAAAATAATAAACAGATCCTATGTCAGGTGGAAACAAAATACAAGGACAAATGAGGCAGGCAGAGGATAAAAGTGAAGGAAGTTGACATTTTATTTAAGGAAGCAGATATTATAGATAGATGGTGGAGAAGGGCCTCTCTGATGAGGTGACAACTGAGCATCTGAAAGAGACAAGGAAGGAACCATGTGACATCTGTGGAAAGAACTTTACAAAAAGAGGGAACAACAAGTGCAAAGGCCCTGCAGGGACCATGTGCTCAGAGGAAAAGCACCAAGGCCACAGAGACTGCAAGGAGATGAGCAAAAGGAGGAGCAGAAGGAGGTGAGCCCCAGGAAGAAACATGGCTTCTCCCAAGTGAGGCCATGGGTGCCCAGACCTTGACTCTGAGAGAAAGGAAACCATGGAAGTGTTGGACCAACAACTCTGGACCTAGTAGGATCTGACCAGGATCCTGCAGCTGCAGTGCAGAGAATCACCTACAGGGGGAGCAAGTGCAGAGGAGGGAGCAGAGCCAAGGTCCTTGCCTTGGGCTGGGATAAGTGTGGAAAGAGGAAGAGGTGGGAAGTGATCGGGTTTGGGCTGTAATTTGGAAAATCATATTCACATGTCTGGGGCATCTTAAGATCCACCCCTAGAAGTGTCTGTTTTGAGCAAGCATCTTCATATTTCCTGAAGCATTGCTTTAATGATGCACTATTTTTCCAGTATATCCCTGATAGGTACTAACAGTGGCTTCTGTCCGGCTTCAGCTTGGTTCCATCTTGGTAAGAATAAGCAGCCAGGGCTCTGCAGCTCCAACGTGGGTAACCCACATTGCTGTCTGGAGGTGGGCCTGGTCCAGATACAATCAGCTACCCACTCTGGGTCAGACATCCAAACGGCAGGCAGTGTCCTCAGGGAGAGGCACCCAGTATGCACCAGATCTAGCCTGGCTCAGGTCCAAGGCCAACAGTCAAGGCAAACATGAGGTGTTTCCAAAATTACAATTCAAGATGCCTTAGACAACCAATAACGTGGCTGGATGGGCCTCCACAGGGATGCTCTCGTGCCATTTGGTGCAACCACAGGAAGTTTCCCGCCACTGAGTCTGACTGAGGAAGGTGCACACAGAAAGTCTCCATGCAGCCATCCGACAATGAGACCTCCTGCCCTTCAAGCCAGATCAGGGAGCAGACAGAGAGGAAAGACACCGGAAGCTCTCCTGCTTACCTACAAGTTCTCCACTGGGTTTTACTAAGACACCGCTGATGCTTGCTACCTGTTAATTTCCTTATCTGCTGTTGTGAGGATTAAATAAGAAAATGGGATCAGTTTGCAAAGATGGAGAGAGGGCAGGCTCAAACAGGCTTCGGCCAACAGCCACCTCTGCCCTTATTCACAGTGCATATGGCCTTGGGGAAATTCCTTAGCCCTCCACTCCTGAAATGAAAATAACATGGGCAAGAGGAGGAAGAGATGAGATCACAGACAGCCAAGCCCAGCATTGCACTTGGCTCTTAGAAAGCCTGGGTTCACCAGACACCAGTGGCTCATGTCTGTAATCCTAGCTACTCAGAGGTAGAGATCAGGAGGATCACAGTTAGAGGCAAAAAGCAAGATGCTATCTCAAAAATATCCAACACACACAAAAAAGGGCTGGTGGAGTGGCTCAAGTTGTAGAGCACCTGCCTAGCAATACCACAAAAAGACAAAGGAAGGAAGGAAGGAAGGTAGGCAGCCTGGGTTCATCCTTGGCCCTGACACTGGTCTCATGAATATTCTTTTGCTAGTCCTGGAGACACGAAGCAACTACCAAGGGGTTCAGGACTCTTTGAGACCCCTTGGGTCTGTGAGTGGTGAACCACAGGCACCTCCAGGGTAGGCTCAGAGGGCCCATACACTCCCACACTGGGCCATGCTGGACTCGTCCATGCCTCCCAGGCCACGCACCTCAGACCACACATCCTAGGCCACCACAGTTGCCTTGTGCACCCCCAGATTAAACTCTAACCCCCTCCCAGGAAGGAAACAGAAGGCTTTGCTCTCAATGGGGTTTGGAGCAGAGAACTTAGAGGTGACTGGATTTCCAAGGGCGGGCACAGCCCTCTCAGGGAACACTGAAAATGATCAGAACACCAGCCCAGAGACCTGAAGGTGACATCTGAAACCCACAGCGCTCTTAAATATCAGAGAATGACAAAACCAGAGAGGCCCCTGAAGACAATCTGATCTGGCCCTTTGTTCTCCAGATGGGGAAACTGAGGCCCGAAAAAGGGAGGGAGTAGCTCATCTGACCTCAGCTTCCCGGCTCCATCCCTACCATGTGTGCACCCATGTCACACACTCCTGCAGCCTGGCAGAGACCTCCCGAGTGCGGCCCAAGCTGATGCAAAGCATTTTGTTTTGTGTCACGCCTGTGGTGACAGCTGTGCTAAAGCGGATATTCCCAGTCATTACGCTCGGAAACCACGCACAGGTTCCAGCCATTGGGGTTTCACAATGAATCAGGGTTGCAAACTCTCCTCTCTCTGCCTCATCGAGTGTCTGTGTATGGTAACCTTTCGAAATGAGTCGAATTAGTCATCTCGGCCTAGTTAAAGAAAACAGCATGTTCTCCAATTTCACTTCAACAAGGGACGGATGCCAACGGAAATTTTCACCCTGTTTCAAACGCGCTTCTCGCCAGGTCCCTGCACCTGCCTGGTGCTTCCCCACGCTCACTCTTTAACCAGGCCTCTGCCCAGATGCGTGTCACTCCTCCCCTCCTCTCCTAGTCATATCTGGTTTGACCCTCATCTTGACACCACCTGAGTGTTGGCACTGTGCTAAATGATTAGGGGTCACCGTTACACTGAATCTTCCTTACAAGATAGACCTTACTGCCCATTTTGAAGATTAGCAAATTGAGAACCTGAGGGTACTGGCCCCTGACCCTGCCCAAACTCCAGGTTTAGTCACTCTCTCTCCCTTCCACCCCTACCCCAGCCACATTGCCTTTGTGTACTTCCTCCATAGAGTAAGCTCATTTCTACCTCAGGGACTTTGCACAAGAGACTCCTGTGTCTAAAATGCTCTTCTTCTGCCAAGTGAGCTTCTTCTCACCCTTCAGATCTCAGCTCAAGCATAATACCCTAATTGAAGAATCCCTGACATCCTTCCTCAGGTTCCTGGAGCTCTTCTGCACTCACACAGCACCCCGTATGCCTCCTCTTCCCAGGCACACCTAAGGGCTTGTCTGCTATGATCTGGTTCCTCCACAAAAACACGGGTTTCAACAGAGCAAGGAGGTGTCTGTCTTGTCCAGCTCTGCATCCTCACATCTAGAAAGGATGCCTAGCAAGGGGTTCCTTAGTGTGTATTGGATAGATGGATGGATGATGGCTGGAGGGAAGGAGCGAAGGAGGGATAGATGGAGTGATGGATAAATGGATGCAGGGTGGGTGGGTGAATGGATAGATAACAGATAGAAGATGGATAGATAGATGATGAATATATAAGAAAATCCTTTTAAAACCACAAGAAAAAGAAAACCTTGCCCCTATTCCAGTAAGATGTGGCCAAAACGCAAGACCTTGCTGTCCAAACCCCTCCGGCACCCACCGCACACACCTGGAGCTTCAGAGATGCTGATTTACTAAGTCCAGAATGGCGGGGCGGGGGGTCTACACTGTTAATTAGCGCACGGGTAATTTTGAAGGGAGAGTGTCCTAGACCTCCGCTTGAGGGTCCCGAGCCTAAGGTCAGGCCTGGGAATCCGGCAGCCCAGGAGCCGCCGCCTCGCTCTCTGTCCCCCGCCCGCGCCAGAGGCCGCCGAGCGCGGAGGCTGGGGCCGTGCTGCCCTCTGGTGGCGACTGGCAGCGCTGCAGCAGCTTGGCTTCCCGAATTGACGCTGGCGATGTCCTTGTCGCTGTGTGTGCGTGGAGTCGGAGCATCTGGGTTCCAGTCCTTGACCAGGCAGTGGCTTCTAATACTTTTTCTTTTGTAAATGGAACATAATCAGTGTTTCCAAAATTTCAGTTTCTTGGGTATCACCATCATTTTGCCCATCTATTTTGCTACCTGAAACATGAATAGTTTTCTAGATGTATTTGTGGAAACTATTTTAAATTGAATGCCCACAATGGGCGGGGGAGAAGTAAAAAAAATGGAAAAAAAAATCAGGATTATCAAATTTTTTAAAAATAAAAATATTCCAATTTGACAAACAAAAATAAACAATGGCTTCCCTGGGCAATTATGCTAGAAAAAAACAGCAAAGAGATGGCTATGATCGTTACTATAAGGTCAGGACAGGGTTCTGGGGCTGAGGGGAGGCTGTCATTGGGAGGGGACACAGAGGGTCCTGGAAAATGGGTTCAATCATGTCTTAACCACATCTAGGAGCTTTGTACACTTTCCCTGCATTTTCATCTCAATGAAAAATGTTGTGGAAGTAAGAAAAAGAAAAATGCCAGTGAAACACAAGTGGTTCACAACATCCACCTGACAAGGGGAACCTGAGCAGGGGTCAAGGGAGCTGCCGGAGGGCTTCTGCTTCTGAAAGGACCGTGTCCAGGGTTACAGCCCAGAACAGCCTATGACCCAGGACTCCCAGGATCCCAGGGCTGCAGCCCTTCTTCCACAGTCCTTTCCTCCTCCCTCTCCTGGGACCCCAGGGTCCTGGCTCAAAGACAGTGTGGTGAACTCACTCTCAGGGGCCCCTCAGCACCCCATTCACCAGGTAGGCTGGGGCGTCATTTCCATTTCAGGCAGTGGGAGATATTTATAGGTTATTTACTGCCA